AGGAACAAACGTGGATAAATGAGCCGCCACCAGACCAGAACCACAGAGTAGTCACCAAAACTGTTAGCAGCATGACAATCTGTATCAAATAAAACAACAAGAGGAAGATTCCCTGGAGGAAAGAACAGGAAGGATTAGGATTGTAAACAGAAATATGGGATGGTCGAGGCTCAGAGCAAGACAATCAACCAATGAGGAAAGAGTCAGTTGATGTCTCATTCATTCCACACTGGATCCAAAGGGGCGCCACCATACCAGAACCACAGAGTAGTCACCAATACTGTTAGCAGCATGACAATCTACATCAAATAAAAAATAAAAGGAAGATTCCCTGGAAGAAAGAATAGGAAAGATTAGGATTGTAAACAGAAATAGGGGATGGTCGAGGCTCAGAGCGAGATAAACGATCAACCAACGAGGAAAGAATCAGTTGTTGTCTCATTCATTCCACTCTGGAGTTCAAAATCACCAAAAGATCTCCAAATATTGATCCTTAGAGAAAAGGGGCCAAGCATAAGTCACTAAGATAAATATGTGGTAAATGAACTTGGAACAATAGCACATCTCTCCTCAAAAGATACCAACAACAAAGGAATCCTGTGTGCAAAGAAAAAGCCGAAGTCGACAAACAAGCCAACATGGATCTAATTAGGGCAAATGTATCCCCCAAAAAACCCTCAGCATCTTGGTGGATCGCTTTGGAGAGGAAGTGGATAAGTACTGTAGGATAGGCATGAGGGTAACCTGAAGGCGAGAAAATTGGGCACGAGATAAAAAAGGTTAAGCAGGATCCACCTCTAAGTGGGCAAAATTGATTCTAGGTGCTGAGAATCAAGAAACAGAAAATTAGCCTAAAGCAACCTGATCCAAAGCCTGAGGAGGACGAGTCATGCTTATGCCATCATGTAATTGAGATAAAAAATGCTCAGCATGAACCCCAATATCAGGGAAAGGGGAAAACCAAAATACTGATAGAAAGGAGTATCATGCAATAAGGAAGGGAGAGGGTTACAGGAAATTGGAGAGAGGGATAAAACAGAACATACCCATGAAATCATGTCCAAAAAAGCCGTATGAGGCCTAGTTGATCTCACAGTATGAACTTGGGAAGACACTGCAAATTCAGGTTGATGAAAAAGGCTGTTAAATGCTTCACCATCAAGAACAGGTTCACCTTGTTCAGCAAGAAAATGGGCAACATAAGGAGAAGAAGGTTGGTTCAAATAATGATCGATCTCTCAATGAATAATTGCCGATAATTCCATAGTTGAGGTATTGTAAATGTGCTGGTAGAAGGTATAACCTCTGAAGTGGTAACTTGAACTTCAGAATTCAAAATAAATAACCTAACACAACTGTGTTGGTGAAAAGAAATAAAAAAGTATGAAAAAGTTTGTAATTAATGACTAAGTTCTGTAAGTGGGTAGAAATATAAAATCATTCCACTTCAAAATAAGTTACAAATTAGTACCATTGGATAATAAATAGTAAATTCAATAAGAGTAAATAGATACAAAGATTTAAAAGAAAAGTTGAAGAGAGCACAAACTAAACATCTGAACACAAACACTGCCAAAGGAGAAGTGATAGTTAGGTAGAATAGCATAGAGGGAGTCATGTGGGTGTGTGGAGCTTCTATTGGTGGAGGTTTGTCACATGATAGTTTGCATGTGAGAATCAGTTAAACCATGTAAGTAAAGGAATGCATGGGAATGAAACGCTTGTGGCATAAGAAAAAAAATTTTTAAATAGAGGGCAGCACCAAATGATAATAGCTATGTATGAGAGCAGAAGTGAGGTACCTTGTCGGAAATAAATGTTTCTCCTTATCAGCAACATAGTAGCCATCTAAGTAGCTTGAAAAAATTTTCTCCCTAAAACATGTGGGTGCCCAGGAACCAGGAACCCAGCCTCTCTTTGCCCAAGCACACAGCTTACCTTTTTTGCTTAATGAATTATCTAATGGTCTTTAACTATTTCACTTTTAGATCATATTTCTATTTTTGATCATATTTCTAACATCAAGTTAATGACATAGATCTGGAACACAAATGGCCCCCTTTATGCCAATTTCTATGTCAGTATTTTGGAAATGTATATCCTCCAATGCATATTTATCACTGTTAATATATACACCCTGTATAACCACTTTTATGGGCATGTTTCATATAAAATATCTATGAAAACAACTTCATTCCACAATTGAATAACTTTCTCCCTCAACTTCACACATCATTCAGAGATATCAGTTAATTCTGACTTGACTTTATTTATATCATGAAACACCATTTAGCTACTTTAGTTTGCCAAAGAATTACTAGTTAAAAATATATTTGTCTATTTTCTCCCCCAGTGTATTTAAAGAACTGTGTTACTTAATTATACTTTAGGATTAAGTGAATTTGCTCAAAATATGATATTTTTAGACCAATATAAATGCTTTCATGGTTAGTTAATAACTATGGATGCTTTAGAGATCCCTTAAAACAAAAAACTAAATTAAGCTATTATCAATACTCCAACATCAAGACAAGATGTTTGGAAAATCAACTGGAATGTAATATAAATTTTAAAGAACATTCAACTCCAGAGCATAAAAAAATATAAAAAACATTTAACTGATGTAAAGAAAAATTGCCAGTATCCATTTTTCACAGAGATCACTGTTTAAAGTACTGTTGCATTAACGAGTTCACGTGACTAGTATCACGCCACTTCTTCTCTCAAACCTTCGTGAATTATCGGGAGACTACTAGATTGGGGGTAGTCTGGTATATATAAGATGGTCACAACGTGAAGAGGGTAATGAGTAATTGAACTGCAGTCAGAGAGAATATT